GCCTCCCAAGTAGCTGGGACCACAGGCACCCGCCACAATGCCCGGCTATTTTTTGGTTGCAGCCATCACTGTTGTTTGGCGGGCCCAGGCTGGATTCGAACCCGCCACCTTAGGTGTAAGTGGCTGGCGCCTTAGCTACTTGAGCCACAGGCGCCGAGCTTCCACTGGCAATTTCGTCCAGTTATTGATAGCTCTGGCTGTTACCTGTTAAGTTTGTTTGCAGGAAAGAGTGGTCATCTGATGATGGATTTCAGAGAACAGTAACCCAGGTTCCCACCCATCCATCAATATCAGCATTGCTCCTTAGACCCTAGGAAGGAGGAGGGATGGATGTGAGTTAGCTGGAAGAGGAACAGAGAGACTGATGATCCAGTCAGCCCTACCCCAATAAGGGATCATGCACTGAAAACCACAAACCCCTGTCCTGGCCCCACCTCCCCCAGGACTGACAGCACAGGAGCCTATGGCTTCTCTCTAGTCCTTCAGGTTGAGAGTGGAATTGTCTATGGTAAGAAGCTTACCATCCCAACATGTCCTGGTCCTCCTGGTTTCCTTATGCCCAGTGATGAGTCGGTGTGGCTGAGATGGTAAGACATCACAAACCAGGATTCGCACACCCAGTGTGATGCTTATGACACTCACAGTGACCAGCCCAATTCCACCAAGGATGACCAGAGCAAGAGGCACCTGGTGGTGCTGCCGGAGTAGCCACAGACTCATCCATCCCAGTGGCACCAGGCGGAAGAGGACCAGGGTAGTCAGGGTGGCCCAGCTAGCCACACTGAAGGCCAGGGATGGGGCCTGGTGAGAAAGCAGCAGCAACTTCCGCAGGTGCAAGCAGACAGAGTTCAGCTCCAGGAGCAGGGACACCATGGAGTAGCCCACGTAGTGGCCAGACAGAACAGCAGTGCTGAGGCAGCTCACCGCCTAGGAGCCAGGGTCAGATGTCAGCAGACTCCTATGACCTGCCCTATCATGTCCCAATGGTGTAGTCCTTAAGAAAGGGACTCGGGCTCAGCGTCTATTGTCCCAGCTACTTGAGAGGCTAAGGCAAGAGAATCACTTAAGCCCAAGAGTTTGAGGTTGTTGTGAACTGTGACGCCACAACACTCTACTGAGCGTGACATAGTGAGACTCTGTCA